AGGTGTGAATGTGAGTGTGCTTGTTTGTCTCTAGCCCTGCAATAAACTGGTGACCTGCTCAGGGTGTCCCCAGCTGGGATGGACTCCAGCACCCTGCGATCCAAGTGAGGATTAAACGGTGTATAGATAATGGATGGATGTTCTGGAGAAAAATCAGACCATGGACTTCTTTTAATACAATTTTGTGTTAATTTTATTATTTACTCACCTGATGAGCAGTAAGTGATACATAAAGAAAACACTCAGGCATAAAATCTGAACAGAAAGGCCTCAGGAACTCTGTATTACAGATATGCACTGATATCACCCTTCTGACTTTTGTGAATTCTGTATATTAAAAATAATTTGGAATACATTGAAAGCTACAAAACAAGCACAAAAACAAGACATGTGGCCTGTCTTTGCATTTAGTTATTTGAATGGTCAAATAATGTTTTAAATAGGATTTTGTTTCCAGTAATGTTCCTATAAAGGATGTTTATCAGCAGTGACATTATTATGCCTATCGATGCTTTCTTATAACTACATATAAAACTCTCCAATTGTTATTGTAACTAACAAAAAATGGCATTTTTTTTTGTAAAAAGCTGCAGTTGGATAAGTTATCAAGGAATTTTCTTTGGTTTCTTTTTGTCAGTAGTCATCTGATTTGATCTGATTAGCATTGATTTTCATGTTGCCTGTTATGGGAATTTATGGTTGAACTTTTTCTCCTCACAGTAACTACTTCTATTCACCTGGACTATTTAAAGGTGCTGCCACCCAAATTAATTAGAAATAAAATTCGAGAAAACAAGTTTTTTGTCTTTTTATTGACTTATTTATTTATCTATTTTTAATTGAGATCTCCACTTAAAAACAAAAAAAGATAATTCTCTTGTGTTAATTCTTCTTCAGAGAATTAAGCTTTCTATTTTTGTGTTACAATTATAATTTCCCTTCTCACATATGATAATAATATTTATATTCCTGCAACTAAATTGACAGAGCAAATCTTTGATGCAGATTACATATTGCACGTTTCTAAACTGAAAAATACACAGAATAGAACCACAAATCCCACCCATATAGCATTTATTTTTGTTCCCCTTCTTTACACGTGTTAATGACAAAAAAAAGAAATACAGATTTTACTGAGACTTCAATATCTCAACATTTTCTAAATGGACAATAACTTATCATTCTGTAGTTGCTATGATTTTTCTTTTTTTCCAGTCCACATTCTGGCAAGGCTTGTCTTCAGCTGTGGAACTGAACAAAGCGAGCCAATAACAGCGGAACCTTTGCCAGTTTGTTCTGGTCGGACATTGAATAAAACGGACCGGTTTCCTTTACCCACAATCCTCAACTTTAGATCCGTCCTTCCGACTTCCGCCTCAACTACGAGCCGAGGTGAGTAGATTTTTCGGAAATCATATTCCTACAATCTAACACCATCCTGAGTTATTAAAGCCACAACTGACCCCAAGTTTCTTCTAGATATGTATATAAACATTGTATTATGTGTTATTTTAGGATTTTGAGGCGGTCGAACGTCTTTTAAAACAGATAAAGGCGATGGATTGTAGCATTGGCTCCATCGGAGTGGCTTCAGGTTGCATGGCTGCCCAGAGCTCATTTTCTCTGAGTTAAAGTGTCGCAGTGTTCATAACGCAGAACATAGTTTTTAGACTAAGTTGTTCTCTTTACATAAATGTAGCCTTATTTACCCTGTAGCCTGTATGCTAGCTTGTATTAGCAATAACGTTTCGTCAAGCCGGTCCTATGCTAACGCTAGGCTTCTCTGTTGTGGAATAATGACACCGTGTCAACTCAACAGCCTGCAAAAGTCAGTTCTTGGTGAAATATCGAAGCCTGTATGCTGTTTTCTTCTACAGTGCGTATGTGCAACTGCTACTTGAAACTTCGCTGAAGTGTTCACTAACTCAATGTGTTGTCCGTAGATGGCCCCCACTAAGAAAGGAGAGAAAAAGAAGGGGCGTTCAGCCATCAATGAGGTGGTGACCAGAGAGTACACCATCAATGTCCACAAGCGCATCCACGGAGTGTGAGTACTGCAGAAACACCAACAGCTCTGGAAATGCTTCGTTTGGAAACATTATTGTGGTTCGCAGGGCTGCAAATACCCATCATGCTACTTAGGGTAGACCCAATAGAACATGGGTAAACTTTTTTACCAAACATACAACAATGAATATTGTTTACAAAAAGATATTCATCTTGTATCACAAGTTTTCTGAAAAAAAAATAGACAAAAGTAGTATTGATTTGGTTTTGCTTGTAGGGTCTCATATTCATCTTTTTTTTTTTACTCTTTTAAAAAGGTTTTACATGCAGGACATGCCCACACACATTTTACAGAAGCCAAAACAGTTTCTTTAATTATTTGTTAGTTGTATTAACATGCAGTAAAAATCTTGTCTGTAGTATTGTTTGAGAACTGACAAAACAATCATCAGGATTTATTCATTCATACCATGGTGCTGTCTTTTTGCAGGGGCTTCAAGAAGAGGGCCCCCCGCGCCATCAAGGAGATCCGCAAGTTCGCCATGAAGGAGATGGGAACTCCTGATGTCCGCATTGACACTCGCCTCAACAAGGCCGTGTGGAGCAAGGGTATCAGGTGAGATAACGCATTTTTAATACTGATATCAAAGCAAAACACCCCCATCGACTTTAAGGAGGAGTTTGTTCTGGGTTTCTGTGGGATGGCACAGTGTTGTACATTGTTTATATTTCTTTGACAGTCATTACTTTAATTCTAATGTATATTGTGTTTATATGGAGCATTAAAATGTACAGAGCTGGCTGTTAATTGACTGAATTGATGAATGGGTTCTCCCGGTGCCTGCATCAAAGTCCCAACATGTGGCTCAACAGATTCAGTTCACACAACAAAAACTCTACAACAACTATATGCATTAGGTTTTTTAAAGTATCACATTAGAAAAGTTTAATGCTATTTTGGCAGATGTTTAGTTGTTTATCACAAAAAAAGTAACAATTTTAAAATGGTTAAGTTGCTCATCCATGCTGTCGGTGTTAAGAGCCTTCGCTATGCACACAATGTATGTGGTTGATTTTGATTGAAGATGTTCTGTGCTAAAGGCTGTGCTAATTGAAAAATACAGGATGGTTGGAAAACTTTGAGTTTCTTTAAGTGAGTTCTTTACACTCAAAACTTTTGGAAAGGAACTCTGTTTAGTGTCAGCTTTTCAGAATGTTTACCCCGAAGCTGTCACATCTTAACAGGGGCTGTGTAGCCATGGGGAAGAAGCATGTTTGCAAATTGTGTTGCTCTGCTAGGACTGGCACTGAATCATTCTGTCATGTCACAAAGCTTTAAATGCTGGCCAGTGCTTTATTATACCAGCCTGACACGAACAAAGTCTTTTTAAGGTTAAATCCTTTGCTAGGTCAACATCTTTTGTTGTTGTTGTTTTTTTTTCCATAACTTCCAACATGTACAATGAATTGGAGCCATGATACATTTACTGGTGAACGAAGCGACAAAACCCTTCATTAAGTGACCTTCATGTTGTGTTCATGTGTTGTGCAGGAACGTGCCGTACAGGATACGCGTACGCCTGTCCAGGAAGCGTAATGAGGATGAGGACTCCCCCAACAAACTGTACACCCTGGTCACATACGTTCCTGTCACCACATGCAAAGGTAAATATGCCATTCACTGGCTTTGTCGGTCACCTGTGAATGTAATAAAGACACTGACTAAAATAATTTTTCCCTTTCCCTTTTTCCTACAGGTCTTCAGACAGTCAATGTTGACGAAAACTAAATTTGCGAGTGGTAATAAATGAAAATAAAATGAGCTCTTGTCTTCTGTGTTTTATTTCTGTTTTTGCACCTAACTGAAGGTGTAGTGTGGAATGTTTCATAGATTCAGAGTAAGGATTGTGTTTAAGTGAACCATAACAGGGTTGACAGCAATGCTGTGCAAATAGATATGGTTTATAGTGACATACTTGTTCAAAGATCTCTAATTCTACTCCTTTGTTCCCTCAATAAAGAGCTGTTTGGGTATGCTGTCAGTCCTTGTCCCCCTGATTTTTAAAGCAGAGTGATTATTTTAAGTCTGTCTTCTCAAACTGTGAAATGAGTAATGTGCATACCATTGTCAAAATTTCAAATTGGTGTGCTAAAGTATACAGATATATAACTAATTTATTACTGTAATTCTAAAAATCCAAGTTGCAAAGGGTGTCACAAGGCAGTAGAATAGCAGACAAGTTAAAATAAGTTCTTGAAAAGAGAAACATGATGCATAAGAAGCAAAATATGAAATGACATGAATCTAACTGGGTGTATGGCTTCAGTACCAGACAATCATGGCTACATCATGGAAGGGTTGCATCTTTATAATAATTTAAGCCTGTTACTAACTACAGGTGCATTTTTATAAAGATACAATGTGGTGGAAGAAGTTCAATATTTTTCATCAGACATTGCTCAAAGTTACTTATTACACATAAACGTAAATAATTCAAGCCTTTTGTTTGTTTAGACTGAAAAAGGCTTCCAGCTCATGGAACCCTAGAGATTGCACTGATTCCTCTAATTGGAATAAAGGCACATATTTATTCTATTACCCAGATCCTCCCATTAGTAGACAATACTGCTAATGAACAGATTCTTGTACGTGCAGTAAAAAATTATCATTGATGACAGTATTTAGAATGTACAAAATATTTACAATGCATGTTTGAATGCACTCATGTTGCACAAGTATGACAGTTGTTGTATTGGTGGCTTACTGGGAGCAGCAGTGCAAGGGCGTTTCAGTCATGTGTTTGAAAATCTAACTTCATAAATGTCTTGTTTTTCCACTGGAGCAGATTTGTCTGCCGAAGGCATCATAATATTAGACTGGATCAAATATTAAAATGTGTAATAATGCAGAAGGGGCTGTGAGCAGCTGCAGTGCCTCCTGCTGCCTGTAGGGGGAGCCGCTTGTTTCGTCAGCAGGATGTTGTGAGGAACGGACGCATCAGGCTAGACCGCTATGGCACCGTCCAGCGATTTCTCTGGAGTTTGTGCAGCTGTGAAGTAGCTATAACTCAGCTACGAGGTAAGATACGAGGCTCCCCTGGCGCTGTGTACGTTTTGTGAAATTGTATTGAACACCACGGAGAACAACCAGCTTGGTTCCGGGTGTCTGCTTCATGTCTGAACACTGTCTGGGAGGGACAGGTGTGGCTAGCTGCTTGGCTAACTGACCAGTTAGCTAGCTGTCTAAAAACACTGAACATAGCTGCTCCATTTGAATGAGCTAGCACTTGGTAGCTACTCTGTATCAAACAAACAGAAGGCAATACGGGTACCTTTTCTCTGTATACAATAATATCTCATAACTACAGCTCTCCGTCAATTCCATGTCACAAAGATAATGTTAAGTTATAGCTAGTATACAACGAACACGTTACCATTAGCAACATTGTTTTGTGTAAGCTAGCAGCTAGCTACTCTAATACAGTGTTCATAAACTGTGTGTCCAGGTGGGATGTCCGCTCACTGTTTCCATGGCTGAAGGCTGATGTTGGGAAGCGATGCGCCACCATTGGCTGCTCCTCGGGGCTTGCGGCTGGGTGCTGCTCATTCTCATGTTCGTTAGCAAGTTCATCAGCTTCAGAGCTGTAGATGGTAAGCAGTTGTTTGTTATGTTGATACCTACAGACGTGTTAGATTCCTGCATTCTTACACGTGTCTTTTGCTGTAATGCTAGATGTGGGCAAAGATGGACTGTATCATGGAAGCTTTTTTTGGCAAGGAGAGTGAAGGGCAAGAATATAATACAATTCAACTGGATAATGATGCTTTTGATTAATATTTTTATGAGCTACATAGTTATTCAAATTGTTTACCATTTATTTTTGGCTTTTATAGGACATAATAATGCTTTGTAAGTCAGTATATGACTTTACAGTTATCATTACGTGTCATCAAAATGGTCCAACACTGTAGCTATAGTTCTGGTTGCTCTACCTTTTCCTAAAACTGAAGAAAGGTACCCATTTATATGGCTGTTCATGCTGCTTTGAATGAAACTCCTGTATTTGGCACTGGATTTTCAGAAACAAACTGTCAATATTTGTGGTATATGTTGCTACCATAGACTGTATACAGTCTGTGGCAGTCTTGCTGTGTATAATAATATTAACTTGCTGGAACAAACAGTCTCAACCGTAAGACAGTCCTGCTCCTACTGCAGCCATTCAGTAACCTTCTGGACAGAAGGTTGTATTACAAGGATAACACTCGTTTGTAATTAGGTTAAACATGATGCCTTTTTTGCATCATGTTATGGTGGAAATGTCTTAATTCGTGTAAAGGAAAACACAAACTTCAGACACCAGGTGACGATTCAAAATATAATGGAATATATAGGGATCTAATTACATTTTCAACAATAGATTCAATAGTTGTTTAGGCTCGTGATCGATATTTGGAGAGTAAATAAAACAACAGTCCTGAAGAAAAAAAGACCTGCCCCTTTCTGATGCATTGCTACCTTTATTAGAAACCTTGTAGGGTTTTGTCATGAACAATGTCCTCTGCCTGATTACAAGCATACAATTATAGTGGGAACTATCATCAGGTCACTCTAATATGTATTTTCAGATTATGGAGAGAGAGCCGGTGGTCAGAGCTGGACAGTACCAGGCACCAAGGTGGTTAAACCCATTCCTGTGTCCAGTCCAGAAAAACAAGTTCCAAAGCCATCAGATCAGGTGACTTTTTTCCTGATTCCTAGTGGTACTCCATACCTTATTTAAGCACAGTCATTCTTTTGTTTTCTCTGCAGCTACACCTAAAACATGGCTGTCACTCAACTAAGTGTTATATGTGTGTCTCAGTCTTCAGCAGCACCCACTGCGGGAGAGTGGCAGTCAGTGGCTGAGAAGCGAATCGAGCTGCTCTCAACTGTGTGTAAGAACAGCAGCCTCAGGAATTTGACTCATGTCTCCATCAGCAAGTTTGTCCTCGATCGCATCTTTGTCTGTGACAAACACAAGATCTTGTTCTGCCAGACGCCTAAAGTAGGCAACACACAATGGAAGAAGGTCCTCATTGTGCTCAATGGTAAGTATGGATTGGAAGAAGGTTTAAAAAAAAAGGCACATGACTGATACACACAGTTTTTTTTTTTACAAGATATTGTGAACGTGTACTCATTAAAACACAACAATAATAATATTAGAATTAAATTCAGTTTTGTGAATTGAGGTCTCTTTGTTTAATTAGTTGATGATTTATGTTGGCAGGAGCTTTCTCCACAGTGGAGGAGATTCCAGAAAACCTTGTTCATGACCATGAGAAAAATGGCCTGCCTCGCCTCTCGTCACTCAGCCCACAGGAAATAACTCACAGGTTATTACATTTTGTCATAAACCTCGTCGAAATAGTTGCATGTAAGGGAGTTCCTGTTAATGTCCATAAAACAAAGAATAAAATAAACCAAAATAGTGTCTTCTACGAATGTAGTTGCCTTTAAGCTGTCATTTAAAAAAGGTTCAGATATTGTTTTACCTGCACAGTTATAGAATATGAGGATATAACATGATCTTTTGTAATGAATGTCACAAGAGCGTACAAGTCCTTGTCCACTCATAAATCCTTTCTATGTGCCTCAACAGATTGAACTCCTACTTCAAGTTTTTCATTGTGAGAGATCCTTTTGAGCGACTGATCTCTGCATTCAAGGACAAGTTTGTGAAGAACCCACGCTTCGAGCCTTGGTACAAACACGACATCGCTCCAGCCATTATACGGAAATACCGCAAGAGCCACCGCGACAGCGACCTCGCTGCCTCTGGTCTGCACTTTGAGGACTTTGTCCGTTATCTGGGTGACGTTGAAGGCCGCCGGCGTATGGACCGGCAGTTTGGTGAGCACATCATCCACTGGGTGACTTACGCAGAGTTGTGCGCGCCATGTGAAATACACTACAGCGTGGTTGGCCACCACGAGACGCTGGAGCAAGATGCCCCCCACATCCTCAGAGCTGCAGGCATCGATGAGATGGTGTCCTATCCGGCCATCCCGCCAGGCATCACTCGCTATAACAGGACCAAGGTAGAGCACTACTTCTCAGGCATCAGCAAGCGGGACATCCGGCGTCTCTACGCACGTTACCAGGGCGACTTCGGCTTATTTGGCTACCCAAGCCCAGACTTTCTACTGAACTAAAATGATTAACACTGAATAAAAGACATTTTCATATAAAATCCTCAACATCTTTTGGTTTACTAAGACAGAGGTGTATTGTAGCTAACTGAACTGGCAGAGAGAGGCTGGTGTGCAGGAGATGGCACACTGTCATGTGTCTGTTCTTATTTTAGCCACGTTTGTTGGAATAACTGACAGGTTGTCGCTGTGTTGGCTGTATGTGCAATGATTTACAAGTGCTACCTAATATTCACATATTTAACTGTTTTTTTGGAGGGAGGTGATGTAACTGACAAGCTTGATAGGAAGAAAGATGAAGAGATTCAGCAGTGGAAAGCTGCAGAATTTATCATTCTGTTAATAAAGATCAAATACAGGTACAAAACAAATGGAGAACATGTTACTTAACTTATATTTAATGTTTGTCCATATGTTAAAGAGGCGTGCTCTATAGTGCCGGGATACAGGCCCATAATCCTGTAATGTAGCTATTATATTGCACTGTTTGGATCATGATTCGTCCTGTTAGTGAAACCTATTGACAGTGCAACATGCGCTTCTCTTGCTATAATGCCAGATGTAGACAAAGATGCTTTTTTTGGACAAGGATTGTGAAGGACAAGAATACAACCTGATTTGACAATGATATTTTTCATGAATGTTTTTATGAGCTACAGAGCTTTTCACATTTGTAACCATTATTTTCTGCTTCATGCAAGGCATATTAATGCTTTGTGAGACAGTAAATGACTCTTCGGATATTACGAAGTGGAATCAAAATGGTCCAAAAAGCCGCAGTCCACACTGTAGCGTTCTGGTTGCTCTGCCTTTATCAAACCAGAAGAAAGGTATCTACTTCTTCAGCTGTTGATGCTACTGCGACGTCGAAGGAAACTGGCACTGTATTTTAAAGGATCATTTTTCTATCGGAAATGTAATGTGTAAATGTTCTTAACATGACTTGCAACTCAACATTTGTATTACATGTTGCTATTTATAATATTATTAACTTGCTGTCGAGTGGCACAAACGGTGTCCCAGCTGTAAGACAGTACTGCCTCCCTGCAACCACTTGGTGGTTGCGTTACAAGGTCAAATCTAGTTCGTAATAAAGTTACATGTCAGTTACTGTACTTTTTCTTGTGTGTGTGTTTGCCTTAATGTATTGTGAATGTTGAATTTGCTCTCTTTATTTGGGTTATTTTGTCCAATTATTTTACTAGTAATTTTCTCTCAGTGGAATAACGTGCAACTTTTGTATGCAACTTTTTTTTTTTTTTCTACAGCGATGACACACTACCCCTAAGAATAAACGGTAGGGGGAGTGTATAGACTATTGTGCCACACTTGAAGATGTGGTCATACATGTACTTGACACAGATTTAATGTTGTGATTGAGCAGTGTAAATCTAGAGTTGCAGTAATATCAATTTTCCACAAGGTGGCAGTAATGCATTTAGAATTTAAGTTTTTTGTGAAGGAAACCTCAAATCTTGCTGAACCCTTGAACCAAATGTCACCACTTACGACTGCTGAATTGACATTTGAACCAAAGGTGTAAAGGGCAGAGCACAGCTCTCCCACCCAGCTACAAACATCTAAAGGCGGCGTGGGTGGTGTGGATCGGGATTTAGGTTATTGGTGTTAAATATCCACCTCATGGTAGATGGGTTTAAGGTGATTTGCAGAGCGCAAGCTTCAGTTAAGTGTCTTTAAGTATTATACTGAATGCCTTCCGGCTTTGTGCCTGTTTATGTGATTCCCCCCACCTCCACACTGCCAGGTTCCTGCTGCCCTCATGTTGTCTGACTGGTTCATCCTGTTCTGTCATTTGAATGCTGAGCTAAGGTTTGTTTAAGCAACAGAACAGCTCAAACGTTTCATTATGGAGTTTTGATAAATGACTAACAGCCTGCAGCTGCTTGTATCTTGGTGCTGGCAGTAAAGATCAGGTTGTAAAAGGTGTTTTTTGATGCACTGCTGACAGGCCTTTAGGAAGTCTGAAGCCTGTGCTGGAAGGCAGAGACTGCAAATGATGCCTGCTTGTGCAATTTCATGTTATTACTCATATTCGGAAAGGGAAACCGGCAAATGGAAGACGATCCATCTACCTGTGTATTTATTTATTATTTATCACTAGTTCAAGAGCATCTTAAAAGCCTTGTGTTTGTTCCTAATGTCCCTGCACTCCACAAACACACACACAGCATCACTCCTGAGGCTGCCCACTTGCCACACCCATGATTACCAATATTGACACTGAAGTCTCACATGCGCATGTCCATATGGATGCTGTGCTGTGAGGTGAGGAGGGGGGCTCTGCTCTCATCCCACCTGCCCTGCCGCCTGTCTGAGCCGTAGAAACATTGCTGTGCAGGTGGATGGAATCGTGCATTACAAATGATCTCAGTATCCACGCTTGATGTTTTAGGAGGCCCAGCCCTTTTTTCTTTCTGTGTGCAGCCGACCGGCTTCCTGTGTTTGTGCTGTTGAGGCAGAGCTTTGTGAAGGCAGATAGCAGCAGACAGGGCGGAGGCGGAAGTGGGAAACGTTTGCTTTCAGAATAACACAAAAATTAGACTTGCAGCCTAAGAAGCAGAAGTCAGCTTGGCAACTGTATGATGAAACTTTGAAGCAGGTTGACGCATATTCACACATAGTGTACAGGTTTTAGGAGCTATTTAAGGTGTTTCTGGCAAATTACACTTTATGATAAGCTTTCTTCCTGTTTGTGTAGAATAGTTATAAAAGCAAGCAGTAGATAAGTTACCTTTACAATGTCGGTGGTGGAAAAACATGATCTAAGTCATCACTTATTTTATAATTATGATATGAGCGTGAGTGGGTAAAAAGTCACATGTGAATTCTATTAGTGCATTAACTTCTTTGACAAAGTGCTTCAGTGCTTTACTTAAGTACAATTTTAAGATTAAGTGCTGCTTTTAACTTACATTGCAACGTTTTACTTCACGACATTTATTTCACAGCTTCATTTACGAATTAACAGATTAAGATTTGTCATGCTCAGTATAATCATAAGATGAACTGTCATGCATTGTCAAAGAATACATAATAAATACAGTAGTTTGAAAGAGCCTCACCTTTACGTGCTGCAACATTAAAGTGACATTTACACTACTGTGCAACGTTAATTGTACTTAATAACATTTTGAATGCAATACTTGTAACAGAGTATGCTTGTGTTATTACAGCATATACTCATGCAGCCTATCTTGTAATTACTGATGCATTAATGTACTAATCGGTTCAATGTTCTTGATTATATTTTGTATTATTAAAATAAATCTGCAAAGTAGAAAGTATAATATATATAAATAAGTCTAAATTGTACTTAAGAATGTAAGTCACAAACCTAATGATTTTCCCATATGAGTAATCCTTTCTCTTCAGCATATTAAACCCAGACATGTAATATATTCAAAATTGGTATAAAGTTTTGAACATTAGTTATTAAAGTTCAGGGGTTTATAGGTTTATTTAAAGGAATTAATCTGTCATTGAATGGTTGCCACATGCACAGAAGAGGACAGAAGAGTAAATCCAGTCTATATTATTTTACATGAGCTGCAGGAGGATAACTATCTGAAAGCACCACAGTAAATAAGAGCCCAAAGGGCCTTTGTTGCTTAATTTTTTTGTTTCCCTCTACATTAAAAAAAGACATTTATGCCACAAATTGTGCAAGAAACAGGCACAAATTAAATTCACCAGAAATCACAAACTTGAGTGCTGAATGCTCCAAATCTAATCTTCTAATCCCCTCCCATGCTGCAATACAAAAAAGTCAGGCTTTTATTTTGAAACCTCCCACCAGAAGGCAGATACTTCACGCAGCTTGACTCCAGTGCTGGAAGTGAGAGAGCGACCAGAGAGCCGCTGCTGCCACCTCAACATGGAGTAGCCAGAGCCCAGCGATCACTGCTCGCAAGCGGATCCCACAGAGCGGAATCCCCGGCGGCCTCTATTCAGCCCTCCATCCGAAGCCCCCGCCAATGATCCAGGAGCCGTTTTTTGTCCAGGCGAAGCGAAGCTCGGCTTTTATTTAGAAAGATGGCGAACGACTCTCCAGCTAAAAGTCTCGTAGACATAGACTTGGCTTCATTGCGGGTGAGTGCAGCCGAACCGAGCCGATGTTTTTTTCACCCTCTTTCACCCTCTTTTAACGTAGATCCTCGATCAAAAAACAAACCTCCACCCGTGTGGCTAAATCCAGCGAGTTTCATAGTCTTCTTCGGTCTCTTCTGTTGAGACGTGAAGTGTTGAAAATGACCGCTGAGCCACAGCGAGGTGTTGCCAGTGTCTGGTTTTCCTTTGTTCGAGATGCATTTGGCATGTAGGGGTAGACCAGGGCGCAACAGCTGGCTCACACTGGACACTGTTGTTGGCACAATTCAAGAAAAATAACACTACTTTCCATTAAAACTGAAACACATTTCTATTTTTTTTCTTTACAGGACCCTGCTGGGATATTTGAGCTGGTGGAGGTAGTTGGAAATGGCACCTATGGACAAGTATACAAGGTTGGTTGGAGGCGCAGAGCGTGATGGCCTGTCCTGTTTTCAAAGAGGCAGCATAACTAATGTTTTTCCACCTTTTTCAAGCCTTGAAACAAAGGATCTGACCTGAAAAAGTCCTTTAAATGCTGCTGTGGATGGTAAAGTTGCTAGAAACAGGGAAATATGTTGCTTGTAATAGCAGTTTGATTGGAGTCTGGGTGTTATTGTTAATGCTCAGCTGGGGAGACTGAATCAGACAGTCTGATGCATCGACTAGGTTGCATCACCTGCGTTACTGTAAAGTAGGTGAGGAGGCAAGCGTGGAGAAACCCTGCACTTGTCTTGCAGCTCCTTTCCATATTTCATATCCTGCTTTAAATCTTTTCCAGTCCGGTGGATGGGAATCCCACTCTCTGGGCCATCTGCTCCTGGTGTCACATTTCCCTGTTGAAAATTAACGTGTTGAAAGACACTGGCATGATGAGTTGTTTCTGTCATGTGTTCCCAAAAAAAAAAGAAAAAAAAAAGGGGGGGCCTTCTTGTGTTTTGTGCAGATAGCTAATCAGTGGAGGCTCCATTTTGTTGGAACTGACACAGCTATATGTTCACCAGATATCTAGTTTAGCCCAAAAAAAACATCACTTTGCTCGTGCACTGAGCAGCGAGCTAAGCTGAGTGTTTAATTCTGACAGCGCACACTGCTCCAGTGACCTGCATTCAATCCCCCGAGCACACTGAACTCCCAGGATCGCCTCCCCCCTCTCTCAGAGCCAAACCCAGTCTCTCTCTGTGTGTGCACCTGAAATCAGCCCTGTGCAGTGCAGGAAGAAGGTGCAATGAGGAAGAAAGCTTGCACGCTATCTTCCAACCAGATGGTTTCGATCCAGGCGTATGGGACGGAGAATTACTGCTTCTCCCTCTTCCTTTTTTTTTTTTTTTGTCCCTTTAATCTCTCGCTCCATTCACTGTCCAATGCTAATTCTATTTGCTGCGTTGGAATAGAGCTCGTACGAGAGAGCACTGTCAGATTAGCTCGACACAAAGACGCAGCCTGCATGAGATAAACTGTCTCCGGTGAAGTCGAGCGCTGGAGCTTTTGGTTTTTGCAGCAGCTTCCAGTTGATGAGCTGTCGATCGGTGCATCGGCTGTCATGTTAACCGGAGTGAGCATGTGGCCTGTGAGCATGTGCAGTAGGGGACGGTGCAGGAGGAGGAGGGCTGCAACTGGTAGAAGAGCAGCTGTCCAGTTCCAGACAGAACCTGCCCACCGCTCTCACAAAGCTCAGCTTGTCTCTTCACTCTTTTCGGGTCTCTCAGTCCGTCAGTCGGTTAAGATCCACAGAAAGGAGGTGTTGTCTGCAGGGGTTTCAAAGTCCAACCGACTGAATAATCACAACAGCCCCCCAACTGAAAACGGGGTGGAGTTTCTGCTCCCTCTGAGGCCTTTTTTCTGCTTTGTCCAGCACTTGGTCACAGTTTGCAAGGCCCTTTCTAGATAACACAATGTGACCAAGCTTCTTTACTCTTTGATTTGTGGTGACTTTTGATTCCTTTCAGACATTTCCTCCTGAGTTTTTTTTGGTTATTTGAAGCAGACCATTAGGGGTAGAATGCCTGCTCTCGATACGAATTGAAATAAATCTAGGATATGATTTTTGCATTTACATCTTTCCTTTTTGCAGTCAGTTGATCATAATGTAAGCTTTAGTCTTATGACCCGGGGAATATTTGTTGGTACGTCCTGACATGTTTTTAAGGACTAAAGCTGCACGTCGAGGTAGTGAAATGATTATTTCTCTTGCTTGTAGTATCTGAAAGTTTGCTTTGCAGCGATTAATCGATAAGTTGTCAACAACTCAGTTAATCACTCGTTATTTTGATATGCAATTAATTTTCTTTTTAAAAACAAACAAAGTCAAAAATTACTGCTTCCAGTGAACTGAATACCTTTGGGTTGTGGATAAAACAACATTTTAGGATGTCATTTTGGGCTCTGGGAAACACTAATTGGTCAATAAAATATCTAAAAATGGTGAAAATGTCAAACAGCTAATCGAATAATGGAGGCAATAATAAACAGATTTACTCGTTTGGTCAGATTTCTAGCCTTGTTCACCTGTTTTTTGCTTAGATTAAGGTTGTCACAGTTTACCTGTATTGGCAATAACCACGTAACCTTTATCATGTTTAAAATACACATAATATGAACATTTTGTAAATAATCCAGTGCCTGCAACTATCTGGTTGACACTCCGTCATAGCAACAATATACAATTAACTCTCTCTCCAGCTCCACACACTTGTATTTTGATGAGACAAAACATTTAAATACCAAAATTAAAGATGAGTTTGACTAATTATATTTATTTCTTAATTTTTCTAAAGATTTCGCAATAATATAGTTCTTGTGGTTTTGATTATCGCATACATAGTGAAATCTAATATTGTAACAGCCCTACATCAGGTAGTTCTTGATTCAAATCCTTATTTGGCAATTTTAAGCTGTATTTTATAAGACAAAGTTTTAAGAACTCAAAAAATCTGTTTCAAGTTGGTACAGAAAATCCATTTCTGTATAATTTTGGTAACACAATTCAACGTTTCAAACAACATCTACTCTGGCGAAGAAGGATCAGATCCGAAAAATACCTTTATATGCATTTCTTCTATGTTGTATCGTTTTCAGCTCTGCATTTTATCCCTTCAAATTAAAGGACAAAGCTGTTCTCTAAGACCCCAAATACCATGTCAGGGTCCCGTGGCCATGCTGTGCTGCTGGCTCCCAGTCTGCTCTCTCTGCCAAGCGGGCAGCCGTTGCCCCTGGAGAGGTGCCAGATTACAGTCAACTTTTGAAAACACAGCACAGCAGTTTCTGACTGACAGCCATAATGAAAATTACATTATAGCTAAAAAGCGCTTTTTATTAAATCACTTAATTTTGCTTTGGCCAGCTGGCTGATTGGAATGGAAGCCTGGATCTATAAACAGATTGAAAACACTTGTGTACGGAATCATCTGAACTGATTCATCGTTTTGAAAAGTGGTAGTATGCTTTTGCTTAAACTAGGCCCTAAAGAGAAATTACTGCAACGCATGTGCTTTTACCACAATGTTTTGATTTTTACGTGTAGTATACTATGACAAGGTTGCATTTTGAATTCAGTTGGTACAGAAAAACAAGCTTGAATAAGTGATCTGAACCAAAAGATGCAGCAGCACAATATAGGACAGTGTTTCTGATTCACTTTTCAATACATATTATACAACATTTGTAGAAACTGACTACTCATATATACTATAGAAGCTTGCCACACACATTTTGGCATTAAAATATTGTATTCTGCTCACAGTGTTTTAACATACTGCTCTTGCACTACACAAAGAGATTCTCACTGAGCTTCTCTGTGTCTTTATCAGTTGGCACCGGACCAGCTGGCTTAGCAGACCAGCTCGGGTGCCTCTCTCTGGATATAAGGATTTTAAAAAAAAGAGAGACTAATGATAACACAGCAAAAGACACCATTCCTCAAATTGTGCATGGTATGCGGGGAAGATTCCTGCTGCTCTTACAGAATGGCCATATATAGTCAGGCCTGAGGCCCCGGGGGCCCCTGCTGACCTGCCTGCTATGCATCCATGGGGTGTGCCAAGGCTGTGCCCACCAGTATTTTCATCCCGTCGTTTCCCCGTGTTTCATGCATGTTCATCCAGTTTGTAGAATCTACTGTATGTTGCACTGATAGGATGTATCTTGCCGCGGTGCCGTGCTGGTCGTGTGGTTTAATACTCATCAAATCATAAAACCAAACTAACCTAACGTCTAATGTTATCATAAACCAAAGACTAATTATCAAGCTAACTCAGGAGCAGCTTTTACTGGATTTCTGCAGCTCAGGTGCTCTTGCCCCCCCGCTCCCTCCTTTGTTTTCCACCCCAACTATAAGGGCAGCCTCACCCATGCCCTCAGAATAAGATGCGTTGTCCTCGGGGGGTTAGCAGCACCCGACGGGCGCGAGGGGTGGGAGCGCGACCTCTTGTGCAATCTGCTAAATACCTACTGGGGCCATATGGTGCTGGGCGAGGCTGGTATTTACCTCAGGGCAGTGGTTAACGGCGATCAAAGCAGTAAGGAGCTTTTAGTGTTTGTCCAAAAACGAAGAAATTAAACATTTTATGAAACGGGCTTTTGCTGGAAACGAGTAAAAGATGCTCAAGGTTGCACTTAAGATGAGGGAAGCGGTGAATGGAGGTGTGTCGGCTCACTGCAGAGGAGGTGGGAGATAGTGTCTGACTTAATTTTAATCCTCATCGACCCCTGTGCAGCTGCCTGTAGGGTATTGACAGTCTGCCCTGAAACAGCACAAGACCTTTTCCAGCAGTTTGCACAAGAGTCTCACTGATGTTGGATCATTAAGACAACCCTGTTATAATCCAGTATTGGTCCATCACGTATCAAATATTAATATGTCGTTGTCGATACACTTGTTCCAAATATTGTGGGCAGCTTATTGGAATCATAACATCTTCTGAGTTACTTTCATCCCCACCCCTTATCAGTCTAAGGATATGAAATATGTCCTCCCATTTGTTTGAGTCATTTTTGAAGTGTCTCTGAAAGACCTAGAAGATGAATAGGAATGATAAATAACTGGCAGGATATTTGGTAAACCTTATTAGTGAAGCTGACAGGAAGAGTCAATCAGATTTTTGGAGTTAGAAGGTTTTGGCAAAGCTGTAATGTTGGAATATTACAGCTTTGATTGAAAATTTGCAACAAAAAAACACCCCCAAATGTACCCACATCATTTAAAATAATGGTTTGGACTCTTCCTGATTCCTGATTGTTAGCAGAATCCTTGTGATTCTAATTTGACATGTGGGAATGCAGCTTTTTAACTACTTTGCCAGTCAAATAGACTTTAATGAATGCTTTCTGGCAGAGCTGTGGATTAGATGCCACTGCAGGACTTTGTGGCAGCGCAGGTCGTTGGCTGCTTGCCTAATTAATGACTGCTGTATAGAGC